GATAAGTCGTTAAATTAGTTACCCCTTACCATTCTTGAGCATATGTCAGGGTGTTTGCGCTAAGCGTGCTGGTTTCAAGAGCCACTGATAGCAAACTCAGTTCTCATTGGACTGAATTATAACTGTTTTGGCTAACGCTTTACATCTTTTTACAACATAATAATCCTATGTTTATAGAAGGCTCGACATAGTTTAATTAAATTAACACAGTGATTATAGAAGGAAAACAGTTGGATTAAGAGGAGGAAGTTTAGTTATATGCATAAAAAATATTTGAAACTGTTACTCGAGGATAATTCAGTATGAGGAGGAAAAGGCAGCGGGTCACTAGGAGAGGAATGGAAAACACTAGACTAACAACACCTGTAGAAATTCCATGGTATATCATTAAAATTTAAAAGCTGTTTAATAAAGCAGGGTGACAAAACATTATTTACAGTTTTTCTGTTTAAGAATTTTAATGTTCCATCCCCGCCCACCACGAAAAATCATAAGCTTCATGACAAAAAACCCCCAAAAAAACATTACTCTTAATTTATGAATTATTCGAACTAGAGGAAAATAAAGGAACTCATACAGAAGATAGGAAAGGAAAGCGAGAAGAAAGGACTAACATCAATTGTAAGAAGACGGAATGTATAGATGTCAGTAAAAAGAACCTAAGCTACAAATTACAAATTTGAGTTGCCAAAATCAACAAATGTCGAAGAAGTGTTTTAAGAGGAGACGGAAAGTGCGACATCGATATCCGAAGGCGAATTGGGATAGCGAAAGATGCCTTCCAAAAGCTAAGCACACTGTCAAAATCTCGCTAGAAAAGAGTACTTAACTGTTACGTAATATTGGTCCTCCTATACCACACTGACAATCCCCTCACAGACGAAGAGGCAACGAATATTGTTCTAGAGGAGGATGCTGAGAATACTACTCTGTACTGCTCCAGTAAGTACCTGTCTCCTCCTGGTATCCTCTACCTTTCCAAGAACCAGATCAGGTCAAAGATAGAGTACTGTTGCCATATTTGGGCAGGAGTTGCCAAGACTTCACTCTCCAGCCTTTGATAGAGTTCAAAAGCGTCTCTGGGCCCTTGTGGGTGACGAATTATTCTCTCCCTTTCTCAACCCCTCTCTGGCAGGGTTGGGGTAAACGTCTTGTTGCTCTACCGGTAATTCCATGGAAAGTGATCAGACGAACTACATTCCCTGGTCCCGCAAAGGCAGACCTTGATGGCAAGAACACGACATGCCACTTACATAGTATCAAATCATCCACATACCCGCCATATTCCATCTGCGAGAAATAAGTTCCACTTGAGCAGCTTCTTCCCGCGAACGCCTGCCCTGTGAAATCGACTCCCAACAGGATGTTTCCCCGATCACTAACATCTTAACCTATTCAAGGCTATGGTTAATTGTTATCTCCCTCACCTATACACATAAATGGCCACCTAATGTAACCCTCTAGCTCGAGTGGCCTCCGAGCCTTGTAAAGTGCGACCCTTTTTTAGAGAAAATAGAAACAAAAAGGACATTCTTAATTCAGAAAAAGACAGTTGAATTTTTAGAATACATAATGAGGACAGAATCTTCGAAAAATTTGACACTCACAGGATATATTACAGAGAAGAGAGATAAAGGAAAGCAGCGAATAAACTACCTAACGAATTTGTGTAAATGGTTGTCAGAACAGGGATTAAGAGAGATAGGAAAAAGCCAAATTTTAATAATGACTATAAAGGAAATTGTGGAGAGCCATGATTTCCCACGTCCTGAAGGGACACGGCACATAGATTAGGTGGCTTGTGTAAATGGTTGGCAGAACAGGGATTAGGAGAGATAGCAAAAAAAGAAATTTTAATAAGGATAACAAAGGACAGGAAATTGTGGAGAGCCATGATTTACCACGTCCTGAAAGGACACGGCACATAGAAGAGGTGGCTTGTGTAAATATTTGGCAGAACAGGGATTAGAAGAGATAGCAAAAAGACAAATTTTAATAACTACAAAGGGTAGGAAATTGTGGAGAGCCATGATTTCCCACGTCCTGAAGGGACACGGCACATAGAAGTGTCTTGTGTAAATGGTTGGCAGAACAGGGAGTAGGAGAGATAGCAAAAAGCCAAAATTTACTAATCGTCATTATTTTTATTTGCTTTGGTTTATTTTCTTTGACCGCATATCAACCTCAATGGGTTATTTAATGCCGACATTATTTACTGCTAATATTTTTTTCAAAAATGTATTGCTGGTATTAAAACCTATTTTTAAACTTTCACAGCACTGACTATAGTCCAGGGTCAACCATCTGCCCATAGTTGGGACCCCAACAGGTGCCACCACCCCGGGTCAGGGCGTACCTGGGAACACCAGCAACCAAGAGGCGGCTCCACACCCCTCAAAGTCTCCCGATCAGAGGCCTTGCTGTTGGATGTAGTTTATCGTCTTACACGGGATGTGGATGTAGTTTATCGTCTTACCCAGGACGTAGATCATTTAGAGCAAGTAACAGATCTTAACGAAATATTTTTTTAAGGAAGACTGTAAAGCTCACCGACTGAAACATTGCGATGAAGAGAAGTGAAGAAGATTCTCGCTTGCCTCCAATCTGTCCTATGGGTATTAAATTTTCCAAGCCCTCTTTCCTCATTGTATGCTCTAGAAATTTCAACTATTTCTTCCTAGTGGTAAATGTAAGTATCTCTTTATTTTTCCATTTTCTCTAAAAATTCGTTGTTGCTCACATGTTCGGTCTATGGTATTCTCAGCATCTTTCTGTAGATCCACATTTCTGTTGCTTCAAGTCTTTTTCTTTCATCTGTGAGGAGATTGCCCCAAATTTTATTGCCTTATAAGAGGGCTGATAAACGTAACAGTTCAGTACTCTTCCTTGTTTCTAACAAGAAGCAGAATAATTTGAAACGTATTTACAGCATACATTTCATAGTTGTTTTGTTAGTAATGTCCATCTTAATTCATGACCAGTGACTATTCATTTTTTCTTTATTTTCAATGCATTTCTATATTAAGATTTCTGACGATATTTTCTATATAAATATTTCAAATGCATTCGCGTGCATATCATTTTCAAGGAAATTACCACATAGCTTACTTTTGACTTTTTTTTTTATAATTAATTTGTTCTTTCTCCTTCCCGGTCTTTTGAACAGGAAGAGAGGTTTATCCCTTGTTTCCTGTTTAGGATTGGGTTTTCGGTACCTTCTAAAGTCTACTTCAACTCTATACATCTAATGCCTCCCTCTGAACGTTGACATTTTATCTACTAATTATTTATTTTCTGTTTTTTCAATAAAAGTAGAGAGGTTCGCCTATTTTCCGGTTCACATACCTCCCTCGTCTTTTGAACAGGAACAGATTTTTATCCCCTGTTCCTTATTTAGGATTGGACTTCCGGTTCCTTCTAAAGTCTTCTCATTCTATTTCACTTCTAGTAGTCCCTTGCGTCTTAGTAGCATTATTATCTTGCTTGGGGTGAACTGATTATATATATATATATATATATATATATATATATATATATATAACAATGAATCATTCATACAAAAAATAGATTAGTAAAGTTAATGATATAAAATGGCGAAATCCCTTCGCTAACAAAATTTTAAAGATGCATTAACCTACTAATCACTCGATGAATGTTATGATCCTTTTTTTTTTAAATTATAAGCTGTATAAGGTTTTTCTTAAATGCGCAAGTACTTTCGACTGTACATTCAGTCATTTTCAGGGATGGAAATTATTTTGTTTTTGGTAAAATTCAGGTAGCATATTAGTAAAAAAAAACACTCTCTTAAATTTTCAAAAAAATTCAACCTTAGGTTTGCGACTGCAGGCTCCGAAAGTTTGTATCCGTTATCAATAACAAATTAAAAAAAAAAACATATTTCGATTCGCACTATAATTTTTCGTCTCGGATGCTACCTGAATATATATATATATATATATATATATATATATATATATATATAAGCCTATTTTATCAAAACACTGTGATCTTTGGATTTTTCATTGAAACAGATTGCAATAATTTCAATAGCTTCTCTAAAGTTTTAATTTTGATTTTAATTGAAATAAAAAAAGAGTCATTATAAAAAGAGCAAAACAAAATACTACTTTTTCAAGCATAAAAAATTAAAACTCTTTAATATATTTTTGAGAAACACAAATTAATACTCATCTTATGCCATATTGATGACCCGTCAAAAGTAATTTAATTAAAAATCCATGAAAAAATAATTCACCACAAAAAAGCAAACAGCCGGCAAAGTTAAAAACCTGATCTATAAAACAATGAGTTAGCGATTACATTTTGGATATTGACAAAACATTACTTTCCTTTTACTTAAAACATATTTAAAATATCTTTCTTTACATGGGATCAAAATATTAAAATGGTGTTTTTAAATTTAAGCGTGTATCATGTGAACGACAATGTACGGAAGGCCAAAAGTGACAAAAATGAAATCTGCTCTTGCGTTCTCAAAAGCAGATAATTAAAAATCTTTTATGCCGAAAAGTATATGTCATTCGAAAATAAAAACTAAAACAAAATGCAGAGACGCAAGAAAATGATGAAGGAGGAAGCAAAGAACAAAAGAAAAAAATATAAGAAAAACAAAACTATTATGAACAAAAGAAGAAGCAATGAACGAATGAATAAATAAAGAAATTAAAAAAGGAAGCGTAAACTATATAATGAAATGAAAAAGAAAGATGAAATAATAGCAAAAACAAAAAAAAAAGAATGAAGGAAAGTGAACGAATGAAGAAAAAAAAAGAATGAAAGCAAGTAAAATAAATGAGATGGAGATTCAAACAAAATGGCGGCGTAGCTGCGACTGCTCTTTGGCAGAAATTCCCCTTCGAGCGACGCCCATGGTACCAAGTTGAAAAAGAGTGATTGGGTGAAAGGAAAGCGTCAGCTGGCAAAGTCGTAACTGAAAGAATGGCTGGTAAATAAACAGTTTGTACAGGGGGCAGCACATGTCATACACCGGCCGTAAGTGGAAACGGTGTTGTTATACGCCGACACTGCTTCCTCAGGGTAATAACATTCCTCTCTGCAAACATCACTTGTGTTATTGGTATAACACTTGCGGCCACAGTCTCTTATACATAATCTGGTAGACGACCGGCGTCACTAGGGAAGCACGCATTTGTCTTCTACCTGCGCACGCATATAGACACATTCGCACAGACTCATGCATTAGCAGCTGTATTCTTATCTTTAACTATTCCAGGTTTCTTCATGACAGAGTGCCATCTTTTCAAACAATTCTAGCTTTTTGATTTCTTTATTTATCTTTCTGTGGGGGAACAAGATTTTTTTGTCGTTTATGGATATTTAAGTTTAGCTAAATCAGGCACAAGGCTACAATTGTGGCGTAACAATGATAAGAATTACGGCAGTAGTAATGGTCACTGAGATTCGCTTGTTAACCATTGTTTCACAATGAGACTTAAAAATGTTTACTCAGTTCAATTTGGCACAGGGTCACAAGCGAGGTTTGCCCTGACGTGGCTCGAAATTACTACATTTACAAAATATCTTGCAAAACGGTCACGTTAACCATCGCTTTACAATATATCTATTCGTATCTATCTATCTATCTCTGTTCGTATCTATCTCTGTTCGTATCTATCTCTGTTCGTATCTATCTCTGTTCGTATCTATCTCTGTTCGTATCTATCTCTGTTCGTATCTATCTCTGTTCGTATCTATCTCTGTTCGTATCTATCTCTGTTCGTATCTATCTCTGTTCGTATCTATCTCTGTTCGTATCTATCTCTGTTCGTATCTATCTCTGTTCGTATCTATCTCTGTTCGTATCTATCTCTGTTCGTATCTATCTATCTATCTATCTATATCTGTTCGTATCTATCTATCTATCTATCTATCTATATCTGTTCGTATCTATCTATCTATCTATCTATATCTGTTCGTATCTATCTATCTATCTATCTATATCTGTTCGTATCTATCTATCTATCTATCTATATCTGTTCGTATCTATCTATCTATGTCTGTTCTTATCTATGTCTGTTCGTATCTATCTAAGTCTAATTGTATGTATTTAACAAGCTTTAAAATCTCAACGGTTGAACCAGCGGATGAAGAGGGCTAAGCATGATGGTCATTCTACAGAAGGCGCCACACTCAGCGGAAGTCCGTCGCAGTTTCATTACAGGAATCTACTTGCTACTTCAACGGCTGCTTAAGAAAATGAGACCCCCCCCCAATCGCAAAAAGTTGTTCACTGCTTTTTAAGAAAAAAAAGTAAATAATTTTGGTTTAATCTTGTTTACAATTCATCGAACTAACAGTTTTTGTTTTAACGAGACGTAAACATTTTTATTTTCATTAAAAAAAATGTTAAAATATGTTTCTTCTCGCTTGACAAGTGTCAGAAAATGGCGTTGATTGATGACTGTAAAAGTGAAAATTAGTAATTTTGACGTGAACTAAATACTGTTTTAAATTGTTTTAATTACCTAAATATTCTTTTAAGATAAAGTTGAACTATTCTTCTTTAAAATAACACCAACATTAATACATGAAAGTTGAATTTAAATAGTTTTAATTTAATTTTAAAATTAGGTATTGCAGTGATTTAAAAAAAAAATATCACTGAACAAAAATTAATATATTTAATGAAATAATACACAATATAATCAAGAAATTGTTTTTTTGCATAAATAAAATAATTTTGAACATTTAAAATTAAATCTCAAGGCAATGAAACGAACGAAATTTAATCCCAAAAAATAGACTTCGCCAGTTGTTTATTTCGCTTCACGTATGAACTGGACAAACAACTTTCTGAGTAATGGTTACGTAATAGAATCCAGGTCTTAAGAAGGAGTCAATAATATTTTTCCATGGGTTAAATTTTTTTAAAGGCAGTAAAGAAAAGGACTTTTCATGTGACAAAGTGGTCAGACGTTACTCTTCAGAACGGAATAATACAATTTTTTCGTCTAAATCTGCCAGACTGTCCCCTTTGAATAGTCAAGTCTTTGATTTCAGCCGCATGCAGTAAAATATAATCACTTCAATAGAGAGTGTATGCTGGCTTTATACGGCTGGAAAGCAAGCAAAATCATTTCTGCTTTTCGGTGGCTTTCTCCTTGTAACCCACACACTTTATTTTTCTGTCTCACTTTTTTATGCACCCACCCAGCTTGAAGGGAATAATAAAACAGGGAAGGCTAAATCCAAGGCCTTGTCTAACGCAAGCAAAATAATTTCTGCTTTTCGGTGACTGTCTCGCTTTCACTCAGGCACTATGATGTTTTTTCCTCTCATTTCCCTACTAAAAAGGCCAGTAAATTCATCGTTTTTACTTGCGTCTTTCTCGCTAAACAACAAGCGTTTTCTCAAAGAAATTAAGAAATTGGAAAAAAAAAAAAAAAAAAAAAATACAAGTAAAAAGAGGATAGTGAAAATTATCAATAATTAATTTTTTATTGCACAAAATTATTTGTACTGGAAAAATGTTAGCCATGCAGTGCATGCGTTGCATAGATGGACCCTTCTCCCCCGTTTATTCCATATGTACCACAGAGGAAGGTCATGAAATCAAGTGTGTGGGTCACTGGCAAGTTGAGGTTCATCTTAAAAAATTCACATCATCGGCACTTTCTGTTAGTCTGATTTTCTTTTACTTCCAACCAACTCTTACAAAGCCAAACAGCGATATGGAATGGATGGCGTTAACAGGTTTTGGTGAAACTGGGAGCTTTTACATTGGCAGCAAATCTAGATTTAGTCATCATCATAAAGAAAACGATCAGCAAAGAAGAAATTAAATTCTTGGATACGCGATAAAACCGACAGAAAATTTTATTTATCTACACTAACTTCGATATATAATTTCTTTTTTTTTTCTTACTTTGTTTATATATTCCGTATGCCAAACAATGTTCGTCATTTATCTATAGAACATTGAATTGTTTCGTAATTCTATATTCCTTTTGATGATTGTTTTTACAAACTCTTGACAGTAAAGTTTGGTACGTAACCAGGAAAAACAGGAAGTTGGAATTTAGTTCAAAACTGACATTTTATTCTTACGCTATTATGAACTTTGGACAATATTCTTTAAAAATTAGTCTTTTATTATCACCGACATTTTAACCTATTCCTCGATCACCAAAGCAAACATCATGACATCTGAATAAAACGTAGTTTTCAACAAGGCTAGAACTTGCATCAAATATATCGCTTTTCACAGACTACGCCTTACGATTGCACGACAGAAGGTTTTCATGGTCAAACATAACCGAAGAGAAGTGTTTCTGAAGGGAGAGGATTCGAGTCAGAGTCTCGTTAGGAGCGACCTATTTACTTTTCAGTTTTCATTATATTTACGTTAACAATTGAAAAGTGTTTCGGTTAAAAATCATTATGAAAGCTGACTTTTCAACACTTCACAAAAAGGAAAAGAGAAAGGAAAAGAAAAAGGGAAAAGAAGGAAAAAGACAAAGAGAAAGGGAAACGGAGAAGAAAGAACGGGAAGAGATGAAAGAAAAAGAAAAGAAAAAGGGAAAAAAGAAAAGGAAAAAGAGAATCGCGAAAAGAAGAAAAATCGATGAAAAAGCAAGAAAAGAAAATGTAAAGGGAGAAAATAGAAATGTCAAAGAAAAAGGAAAGAGAAAAGGAAAGGAAAAGAAGAAGGAAAAGGAAGAGAAAAAGAAAAGACTAGGAAGAAAAAAAACGAAAAAAAGAAAAGGAAAAGGAAAAGGAAAAGAAAAGGAAAAGGAAAAGAAAAAGAAAAGAAAAAGAAAAAGAAAAAGAGAAAGGAAAAAGAAAAAGAGAAAGGAAAAGAAAAAGAGAAAGGAAAAGAAAAGAGAAAGGAAAACGGAAAATAGAAAGAAAAGAAAAAGAAAAACAAAAAAGAAAGGATAAGAAAAGAAAAAAGAGAACAAGAAAGAAAAAGAAAAGAAAAACGAAAAGAAGAAAGAAAAAGAAAAGAAAAACGAAAAGAAGAAAGAAAAAGAAAAGAAAAACGAAAAGAAGAAAGAAAAAGAAAAGAAAAACGAAAAGAAGAAAGAAAAAGAAAAGAAAAACGAAAAGAAGAAAGAAAAACGAAAAAAGAAAAAGAAAAGAAAAGAAAAAGAAAGAAGAAAAGAAAAGAAAAAGAAAAACGAAAAGAAGAAAGAAAAAGAAAAGAAAAACGAAAAGAAGAAAGAAAAAGAAAAGAAAAACGAAAAGAAAGAAAATGGAAAAATAGAAAAGAAAAAAAGAAAAAAAAAGACAAAAAAGAAAAAACAGAAAAGTGAAAACGCAAAGAAAAAAATAAGGAAAAATGAAACAAAAGAAACTTCTCAAAATATAATATAAATTTTTTCATTGAAAGAAAATTTCTCGTCAGATTTTAAAACCAGCGTATTTCTTTATATACTGTTTCTAAGGGGAAACATTTGGTACATTTAGAAACTGGAGTGGCATTATTGTTTAGAACATTCTTCAGAAGTGAAGAACTGCCTGTCGGTATCGTTCTGAAAGTAAGAAATTTTTAGATTGATACTAATTAATTGGAGATATGTAAAAAAGAAATGAATCAATTCTATGTCTCGAGCAGTAAGGTGGACTCATTGCTGTTCTTTTGTGGTCTACATCTATGAATGAATCTTTCATTCGTATCAGTGACAATAACATACCTTCAGGGGTAGAGTCCACATAGGTAAGATATTCTTCAATCTGTTTTTCATTGAGTGAGATGCGCTAACATCTTTTCCCTCTTCTTCTCTATCTATCTCGTTCACTCTCTCACACACATAAACACGTTGTTACGGGAATGTTCTCCATCAGGACTGCGCAACACACACAATAATCAAGGTGTTTGCAGTCTGGGGAGTTAGGTGGTCAGATGTAATGTGTGATGTGGTCGCAGAAATTGTCCGTGTGGCATGGTAGAGAGTCCTGTTGCCAGACATATGATCTTCCAAAAGTCATCCTCTTGACACATGACAGCAGTACCACCTCAAATCACTTGATGTAGGTCTGTGTTGAATCTGAGGTCCTGTTGGAAGATGAATGGAGGCATAATGTCGCCATCACCTTCGTAATCACCATTAGACGCATCAAACTCTTTCTGAATTCTCAGAACTGTCCTGAGATTGACACCTAAACACTCGGAAATGTTGGTATTAGAGCTTCCAGTGTGAATACCAAGCAGTACAGCATGCCGTTTCCCAATTTCTGGCAGAGTTAATTGCGCCATGGTGGTCTTTTTCTTACAGTGTCCAAGACTACTATACCATAAATTCGACACAATCAAAAACAAACAAAACGCATGCACGAAATTAAAAATATAATAGAGACGATTTATCCATTGCACTATATATATATATATATATATATATACATATTTATTTATTAAAGACATTTTTATGTTTAACGTTCTTTTTTTTTTATAGATACAAGTATTTAAGTAAATGCTCTGTTTATAATAAACAGTATTAAATAACATTTACCGGCCTGAATGTCCGAGAAATTTTCATAGAAAATATTCGCCCTTTGATAGGATTCGAACCTGCATCCTATACGGAACCGTCATTTACGCTGACGTGCCTAACCTCTCGGCCACAAAGCAGTAAATTCGACCTTGCCAACCGAACGATCCTTTGTGGCTGAGAGGTTAGGCACGTCAGCGTAAATGACGGTTCCGTATAGGATGCAGGTTCGAATCCTGTCAAAGGACGAATATTTTCTATGAAAATTTCTCGACATTCAGGCCGGTAAATGTTATTTAATACTGTTTATTATAAACAGAGCATTTACTTAAATACTTGTATCTATAAAAAAAAGAACGTTAAACATAAAAAATGTCTTTAATAAATAAATTGTCGGACTTTGTCCATTTCTTAATATACATACATATGTATATATTAGTCGTTAATGGCTTTATCGAGTATCCAAGAATTTAATTTTTTTTGCTGATTGCTTCCTTTATGATGATGGCGTTGATAACTAAATTCGCCGCGAACGTGCAAGTTCAGGTCTAGAAGCTTCCAGTTGCACCGAAACCTGATCCCGCCATCCATTCCATATCGCCATTTGGCTTTGCAAGGAAATGATCAACACACTTGATTTCCTGACCTTCCTCTGCGGCATATATAGAATGAGACATGCAAAATCCAATTATGAAATTGCAACAGGCTGCCTCTCATGCAGAATCCTTTTCTATAGCTCTTTCAGCTGTTGAGATCTGTTATCATCATCCGCTTGTCCCACCGTTTGGTTCGGTCGTGCTTAGTCTGGGTCCTCGTCTTCGACATTCTCGCCAAGGGTGGTCCTAACATGAGATTAGAACTCCCGCCGTCATCGCTTTTAGAATCACTGGGCCACTCAAGACCGCCCCCCCCGACCACGGCAAGAAGCGACCAGCAGAGGTCCGGCTTGTAGAGGCACCTTGTCCGAGGCATCAATGTCCATAGCAGGTGAATCCGACCAGCTCAAATCTGGCTTCTTCAGAAACAGAATAATCTCCGGTATCTTCAATTCAAGTCGGGAATCATTACAAGTAAGACCCTATCTTTCTGTTCTCTTTTCACACTGCTTGTTGTTTAGACACGTGTCAGTTTTTCTGCGTGAGATAAATGTAAATATATGTATATAATTTCGTGTATGTCTTAATGGTACAAAATGAAATCATTATTAACAGAAGAAGCTTATATTCAATGTAACTGCATTACTAATAATTTTACTATTGCATAATTTTACTTTTATGTTTGTGCTGTATGTGACACTTCAGTCACACTAGTGACGCGCATATAGATCCACATATTATTGCACAGTGAGAGTCTCGGGACATAGCAACAGGAATATTTGCTGACGCTTTTTTCTGTTGTCTCTTAGCCGGTGAATACGACTGATTTCGAAATTTCTGATACTAATCTGGCACAAATATCTCCTGTTATTTCTAACCAAGTTAGTATTAGGTAAATTGACAGCTGAAAGGTTACTATTTATCTTGTCTTTATACCTGAGTATCCAACAATCCTTTGTCCATTGTCAAGTTGGCTATACATGAGGACCTTAGGTATTCTGCCGTCATTCATCCGTGCAACAAGATCAGCTCAGCGAAGTTGTGACTGAATCAGGAAGGTCAATTCCACCAATGTTATATATATATATATATATATATATATATATATATATATATATATATATATATATATATTATTAACAGAAGAGCTATTATATTAAATGTAAATGTGTTGCTAATAATTTTACTGAGAATCATATAGCTCATAAGATTATAGAAAGGCACTGAAAATGATTGTCAGTCATCAGGAAGTAATGCAAGCATAACTGACAGAACTAAGCAATTATATGTATAATCTCCCTCTCTCCTTATCTTTTCCTCCTATATACGGGTGTGTGTGTCGGGGGTGGGGTGGGGGTGTGATCCTTGTAAAGTCATCATTTATTCATCATGTCTTTGGCAGATGATGGCAGTGAACTTCAAAATAACAAATATCCACACCTCTCTTATTTGGAATACAAATAATGCAAAAATGATTAGGCTTCTTTGGCATTATCACCTTCAAACTGATATATATATATATATATATATATATATATATATATAACTCTGGCTACTCGTATTCGAAGATACACATCTATTAGGGCGACTAGCCAATCCCTATTGCAGATGCTCGCTAAGGCACATTTGTGTTTGCTCAACATCAATAGAGTCCACCTTTGGTTTATACTGCAACTATGCAGAGCAGACCTTAGTTGCAGTTTCTGGGAAAGAGCGTGTTATCTAGCATGATCAACAATTTGAACAAAGCCAGAAGGCTTAAGCCCTCGGCCATGATGACTTGAGACTTTCTGCTAGCACTGCTATCGACGGCCCTCAATAGTTCCAGTTTTTACTCACAAGTTTTGGGTCAACCCGTGGAATGTTTTTCAGGCACTTTCCAAAGATGCCGCACGTTGGGATCGACGTCGATCCATTCCGATAATATCAGGAAGCGAACGTTTTAACCATTCGGCCATCCCGCATATATATGGCTTTTCAGTTATTGTAAGAAAACTACCTAAATTTATAGTTGTAACTATAAAGTGTAAATTTGAACGTTATTATATCTAAATATGAGTTTATAAAATAATAAAATAGATTTTCTGTTATCAATACAATTTATTCTTATCAAAAGTTCCGATGAGTGATTGAAAAATAACGAAATACTCGAGTCGACATTCGATGAGTATTGAAGGCTATTTTGACGTATGAGGATCCGAAAAACTAGCTTTTATGTTTGTGCTGTATGTGGCACTTCAGTCCAGTTAGTGACGCGCATACAGATCCGCATATTGTGGCACAGCGAGTGTCTCGGAACATTGCAACAGAAATATTTGCTGACGCTTTATTCTGTTGTCTTTCATCTCTTAGCTGGTGAATACGACTGATTTCGAAATTTCTGATACCAATCAAGCACCAATATCTCCAGTTATTTCTATCCAGCTGACTTGAAGTTAATATGAGGCACATCGACAGCTGAGACGTTACTATTTAGCTTGTCTTTATATCTGAGCGTCCAACAATACTTTGTCCATTGTCAAGTTGGCTATACATGAGGAGCTTAGATATTCTAGCGTCATTTATTCTTGCAACAAGATCAGCCCAGCGAAGTTGTGACTGAATCAGGAAGGTCAATTCCACCAATGTCATATATATATATATATATATATATATATATATATATATATATATATATATATATCTCCAAGAGGATAGAATCCAGGTAGGGCTCAATATCTAGGACAGAGCAAGAATATAATATAAATGGTTCAAACACCAATATTCCATGGTTATAATTTATTACATTGGAATCGTAATCACGATCTAATTCATCAGAGCTGTATATATATATATATATATATATCTCAAGAATTTTAACATTTTCAGTACAGATTTAATACTAAGACAAAGGCCTTTAATAAAGTCCTTATTTTAAATTTCAGTGTATAATATATATATATATATATATATATATATATATATATATGACTAAGCATGTCCACTGTTTTCGCGGAAAAACAGCATAGCGTAAATGAAAAATGCCACAAACTTAAAGAAAATAAAGTATTATCGTCAAAATGCTTATGTTATTAAGATGAAAGAAAAAAGTATTTTTTAATTATTTTTTGAAATTTTTTAATATTTTCTAACACGTTCGAAATTTTGGTTAAAGTCGTCTTTGTTTACGTCATCGCAGTGACGTTTTTTGCGTTTTTTTCCCGTTGAAAATATATTGATTTGGAAATTCTTGTAAAAATAAAATAATTGTCCGATCTTAATGAAATTTTCAGGACTTATTCACAAATGAATGAAATTAT